AATAGTGGATGCTGTGCTGCGCTATGCTCTGCTCTGCTCTGCTCTGCTATGCTATGATATGCTATGCTATGCTATGCTGCGCAATGCTGTGCTGGGCTAGGCTATGCTAGGCTATGCTATGCTATGCTATGCTATGATATGTTGCGCTATGCTATGTTGCGCTATGCTATGCTATGCTATGCTATGCTATGTTTTTGCTTTGCCTTCGTTTTTGCCTTCAGGTTTGCCTTTGTTTTTGCTTTTGCTTGGCACCCAGGGAACGCAACTGGGGGAACCGCGCGTTTGCTTTTACCTTTGCTGTTGCTTTTGCTTGGCTCCCAGGGGACTGGGGGAACCGCCCGGGGCGGGGTGCACTGCCCGGCCCCTGTAAGCTACAGAGTAAGAACTTTTCTAGGCAGAGCCTAGGTCGGGAAAAAGTATCCCCACGAACCCATTCAAAGGCAGTCGCCAGGGGAGTTGCCCGAATGAGGAATGTGTAGCAGCATGCACTGGAACGACGACGACAGCCGGAATCAACCATCGAAGCCGTTGCACGTTTTTCGCTCTCGCTTCCTGTTGGAAGCCGCTTGGTATCACCATTTTGGAGCTCTCTTGGAAGTCTCTTGTAGCCCTCTTGAAAGTCTCTTGGGGTCCTTTTGTTGGTGTCTTGAAGCGCTCTCGGGACCTTAATGGTGACCAACGGGATTTCTTGTGACACGCCCGCGCGCGTGTCACCCGATCGCGCGCGCGCGCGGACGTGCGCATGGAGACTTTTGCAGTGTCTACATTGGACAATTCGCCAAGTTGTCCTGGAAACTAAAGTGAACCTTCAGCGGTGACCGACTGAAATTCGAAGTTAACGTGAGTTTTTGTTACAACGTTTCCACACGTATAACAAGTCACAATGTTGGCCTGGAAACTGAAGTGAACCCTTAATGGTCAGCGGTTCGGTTTTGAAGTAAACATGGCTTTCATCGCACGAACCTCCTCCTCCATTTCCTCCTCCTCTGCCTCATTGAAGAGCGTGACGTGAGACCAGCCAGAAGCCGTCCGTCCTCTCCACTCATCCTCCCTCCTTTTCATCATTTCCTCCCTCTCTCCCTCCTCCTCCCTCCCTCCCATCACTCTTCTCCTGACCTCCTCTCATCCTCTCCCCTCCCCCCCCCCCCCATTTCCCCCTCTCCTCCTCCTCCTCTCCTCTACGTTCCCCCTCTCACTCCTCATCTCTCCTCCTCTCTCGATTTCCTCTCCTCCTCCTCATCTTCCCCTCCTCATCCACCTCCTGTTCGTGGTTGTCCGTCCTCCTCCCTCGTCTTCCTCATCCTCCTCCTCACTCCTCTCCTCCTCCTCCTCCTCCTCCTCCTCCTCCTCCTCCTCCTCCCCCGCGCGGGCCTGCTGCGCCTCCGAACCGCCCCGCGAAAGCCCGCTCCCCGCCGACGGCGGGGTGGGCCGGCGGCGGGCCACAGCCGCATGCGGACGGCTGGCGTCCATCCCCCGCCGCCCCTCCGCGAGGGGCGAGAGGATCGACGACGATCCTCGATCATCGATCCTCGTCGTCGTCGTCGTCATCGTCGATCCTCGAACTTTGGATCCTCGATCGTCGATTCTCGACCCTCGTCGTCGTCTTCGTTGATCCTCGATCCTCGATCGTCGTCGTCGTCGACGGTCCTCGAGCTCTTGACCCTGGATCAGAAGTTCGAGTACCGACGACGACGATGAAGACGACGCGTTGGCGCGGCGTGGACCTATCTTGCCTCTTGGGGGCATCTTGGGTCCTGGGGCATCTCGGGGCCGTCTTGGGCCGTCACCCATCCCCCCCCGCTCCCACTGCACTATCTCCAGGCTTTCGCGCTGGATCTCGGAGCTGCCCCCAGCGGGGGCCCCAGGGCCCCGCGAGGGGCGAGGCCTCGCCCTTGGAAGGGCGGGGGCCCCGGGGGCGCTGCTGGCTCGGCGCTGGCCGCCCCTGGAGAGACCCAATGGGGCCGGCGGCTCCCGCTCGTGCCGTTCGACGCCCCCAGCCTCAACTTCTGGGCCATCTGGTCGGGCGACAACACGTCGGAGGAGAACATCGCGCTGTGGGCCGAGTACCAGGCGCCCCCGGCCGCCCTCCTCCCTCCCCCCCATCCGCCCCCCTCCCTCCGCTCCATTCCCTTCCTTCCGCCCTCCAGCCCTCCTCCCTCCATCTCCCTTTCTCCATCCACCCTCTGCCTCCCTCCCTCCCCCCCCCCTCCTCCTCCTCCTCCTTCCCTCCTCTCCTCCTCATCCTCTCCTTCTCCTCCTTTTCCTCCTCTTCTCCTCTTCCTCCTCTCCTCCTTCTCTCCATCCTCCTCCTCCTCCTCCTTCCTCCTCCTCCTCCTCCTCCTCCCTCCTCTTCTTCCTCCTCCTCCTCCTCTCCCTCCTCCTCCTCCTCCTCCTCCTCCTCCTTCTCCTCCCTCTCCGTAGCCATTTTGGCTCAAGACACTTGCTAGGTCGGGGCCCCGCACGCGCTTCAGCTCCCCCCGCATGCTATGGAGTGCGGCGCCGCGGGTTCGCGCGGTGCCTGCTCGCTGGAATGACAATTTGCATTGTGGATTGCAGGTCGCCTAAGAAGTTGAGGATTCGCCGTGCTCGTGCTCGGGTACAGATGTATCTCCAGGTTCGTCCCTCCAGGATGCGCCACATCGCCGTGCCGTCGCACTTGGCCTCAAGAGCGAAGGATGTCGTGACGGGTCTCGCCGCGCACTTTGTGGCGCAGTCTCTGGAATTCAAGCGCACAGTCTACGATATGTTGTTGTTACCACCCCCGCTTCGACGCCGACTCGATCGCTCAGAAGCGGGCCATCCACAAGCAGGCTGGCCGCGCCAAGCATCGTATGCCAGACGTTCCGTCTGGTGTTGCTGCCATGCCGTGCCTGACGGACAAACGCGTGCTGAAGTTGGACTCGTTCCTGCCGCAGTCTGTGGGTTGCCTGTCGCATGCCTTTTCGACTGCTAGGTTGGCGATGTCACACGCGCTGCAGCTGGTCTCCCAATTCGTGTGCTTGCCAGGTGTCATGCCGCTCGGAGTGTGTTGCGAATGTGATATTCAACGTGCCGCTGCTGTCATTGTAGAGCTGAACACACCCATGGAGCTGGCGTGCGCCGACTTCGAGGATGAGCGGGACGCTTTCCTGGCTGGCGGTGCTTCTGCTGGATCGTTGTCTTCTTTTCGCCGCCGCGCGTGGGTGCTCCACCTTTGTCGTCTTCGTGGCCGCCGGTTGGTCCGTGCGCCTAAAGTGCTGCGTTTCGGCAAGATGTTCCTCAACACCTCTCTTCGTCGCCGCCTTGCCCTATGCCGCATCAGGTGGATGTTTCCGTTTGCTCTGGTCACGACAATGACTTCGCCGACCGCCTTGCCTTCGATGCCGGCTTCGAGTGCAAACTGGCCGTGTTCGAAGATCGTTGCGTTCGCGAATGTTGTGTTGCCGCTGCTGCTGGCGGCACTCCTGGTGATCGAGGCCGTGCTGGATCTCAGGGCCCAGCTGTGGATCTGGGCCGTGCTGAGGATTGGGGCGAAACTAGGCAACTGGTACCTGCTCGGCTCCGGCTTCTTGGCTTTGGCGAGGACCATCGTGGTCTGCGGATGGATCTGCACGGCCCTCGTGCGGACTCTTCCGGCGACTACGAGGTTCCTCCAGGTTCTGTGGTTGACAGCGCTGTTCATCTGGATGCTGGCGCCGCGCTTCGTGAATCTCGTGCTTCTCATTCGTCGCGATGCGGCTTGTGCTCGTCTGGATGCTGCTCACGCTCATCTGGGCTCTTGTGGTGTCGCTCATGTCGGCGGCGGTTTCACTCTACATGAACCTGGCGTGGAGCAGCGCAACGGCGTGCCCCAAGCTGGGCACGAGTGTGCCGCTGCCGTGCGCCAAGGAGCGGCCGACTTCTTCTGTCTCCAGGCCCTTCTCGTGGGCACGAGGATCTCTTCCCGCGCGGCGTGCCGCTCCTTCCCGCACAGTGGTTTGAAAGGAGAGTGGCAGTTCTTCCACCTTTTGCGAGGTGCCAGATCGTGCCGCTGCTGACGAACGTGTTCGGCTCAGTCGCACCATCACCGAGTATGCTGATGCTCCTCCACTGCCTGCAACGCTATGGCGTGCCCGAGCTGACGGGCGCAGTGCGCCTGACGTTCACGACGCTCGACTTCATGCGCGCGCAGCTTCTCAGATCATGTCCACGGCTTCTTCGAGCGCAACGGCAATGTTGGCTCCCTCGGCGTCCCGCGATGCTCTCCAAGAAGGTGCCGCCCGTGACTTTCCCCAGGCTGCTGCAAAGAAAAAACAACACAGAGGAGAAGGCTACGAAGGCCAGTGAGGAGAAGCCGGATAAAGATATGCGAGACGGTCTCCAAGCTGCCGCAGCCCGTGCTGGACACGTTGATGTGACCTTCGTTACCATGCGGTGCCAGGCCCCCTTCTCTGTAGCTGCCGTGATTTACTTCTGCTTCGATGCTGCTGCAAGGCTCTGTCTGTTCATGTCGACCTCCTCCACATGGTCGGCTACATTGCCTCGCTCGGCGACTCTTCCGCCCGCGACTCGACCTATGACGCCGCCGCCCACGTGGGCGGCCACCCGTTCGCGCTCGCCGCGGGTTCCTTCGACGGCACCGACGACCGCCTGGTCGGCTCCGACGGCATCGCCGACTACCTGGACAGCTATATCTACCATTGCGATTCCGAAGGCCCTTGGCGCCAGCGACGCCGTGGACTTTTTCAGCGCGAGCCTAAGAGGCTCGGCGCAGCGTTTCGCAGTTCTGGTTTCGCCGGCGGCTGGTTAGGCCGTGGCTTGCTTCGCCAGCGGCTGGTTTCGCCAAGCGGGCGGGGCCCTAATTGGTGGGCCGGGCGATCGGAGCCCCAACGGGCGGGTCGGGCGGGCGGGCTTACCACGCGAACGGTTGGCGAAACCAACGGGCGGGTCAATGGTTTGCGAAAACAGCCATGCGAAACCAGCGTCGGCGAAACCAGCCGTTCTCTTCCCACCGTCCCCTTCTTAGTCTCCCTCCCACTCCCTCAGGCCTTAGCGTGCTGGAGCTTTCTCTTGCTGCCTCCCTGCCATTTTTTGTCTCTCCGGTCACTCTGCGCCCTGTGCCCCCCTCCCCCCTCCCTGCCTTTGCCGTAAATGTACCTATGCTTGTCTCCTCCCAGACCCCGTGCCCTCCATCTCCTCCTCACCTGTCCTCCCTCCCCATGCCCTTCTCTCTCTGCCTATGTTTCGTTGTTGTCGTCGTTGTCGTCGTCGTCGTCGTCTTTCTTGTTGTCGGGAAGAGCGGAGACACGGCCCCCTACTTGTTGTTGAGTTTGTCTTCTTCTCAAAGACCCAACCGTTACCTTTCAGGGTCGGCAGAGCTTCAGCAACCGCGGGCTTGCCCCACGGGGCCCGATAAAATGTTGGCACTGGGGGCGCGGCGGCAAGGGCTGCCACGGGGCTGGAGAAAGTGTTGGCACACTTGGTTTGCTTCCTGAGGTGCCTTAGGAACCCGATGGAATTCCCCAGGGGGGATCCAATGGAATTTCGGGCGAATCCGATGGAATTTCCTTAGACGTCCTATGGCATTTCTGAGGATTCCGATGGAATCCCTGAGGAATCAGATAGAACCCCTAAGGGATCCGATGGAATTCCTTTTGAATCCGATGGAGCTCGTTAGGGGAATCCGATGGATTTTCTTAGGCTTCTGATGGAATTCCTTAGGGTTGCCGTGGAAATCTTTGGGAGCCCTACAGCATTCCCAAGCATTCCTTGAGATTCCGGACGATTATTAAGGGATCCCAGGGGATTTCTGAGGGATTCCCGAGGCAATCTTTTTTTTATGGATTCTTGGAAGATTCCAGCCGAATTCCTGGAGGATTCCAAAAGGATACCTGAGGGATTCTTGAGGGATGCCAAAAGGATTCCAAAAGGATTCCAGAGGACTCGTAGAAAGATCCATCAGGGATATCTGAGGGATTCCTCAGGAGTCGTATGGAATCCTCACAGATTTCCTCGGATTCCTAAGGGATTCTGGAGGATTGATTCATGAGGGATTTTTGAGAAATATTTTAGGATTTCTGAGGATTCCTCAAGGATGCCTGATGGAATTCCGCATGGATTCCGGGAGGATTCCGGACGATTCCTGAGGGACTCCCGGGGACTCCTCCGGGAGTTCGAAGGGATTCCTGGTGGAATCACCGAAGACTCCGGAGGACCCCGGGGGACACCTGGAGATCTCCACGGATTCCGAAGGATTTCCCAGCACCCCTGATGTTTCCTGAGGATCGCCAACGCGGGGCCGGAGAACGCGGCTGCACACGGGGAGCGGTTTCTGCGGTGGCCACAGTTCGGATGGAGTGAGACACGGGGCGCGTCGCCGCCGCAAGGGGCCCGCCGCAGGGCTGGATGACTGGGCGTCACACAGCGAGCGCCAAGACAGGACCCACGGGGCCGGAGTCTCCGTTGCTCCACCAGGCTGTGCCCGTTGAACGTGCCGCCCCGTCCCGGGGCCGGAGTCTCAGTTTTGGTGTTGCTGCTGGTGCTGTTGTGGTTGTTGTTGTTGTTGTTGCTGCTGTTGTTGTTAATGTTGTTGTTTGGTGTTGTTGTTGTTGAACATTATTTATTCTAAAGAATAATTATTGTTGGGCCCCCTGGTGCGCGCCCCCCCTGCGCCGCCTAGGCCGCAGCTACATTTTCATCATTTTCGTGAGGAAGCCTCAGAAAAGAGGGTGTGTACAGGATCCGGTTGTTTTGTTGTAATCCGCTTTCCCTTGCAAAAAACAATAGAAAATGACATTTCTTGTTCTAATATAATCAAATTTCAAGAATCCCTTGCAAAAAATAAGGTAAAGTGGACATTCGCGCGCGCAAGACGAAATCCTTCCAAAAGCTTAGTGTTCGCAGCGATTTTAACATAAAAACATCAAAAAACCAATGGTTTTTCAACAAAAAATTGTCAAAATCTCATCCCGCGCGCTCTTGCGGATTCGTAGGAAACCCAACACTTTTTAAACATTTCTGTCAAACGGGCTTTTGCGAGCAACTTTTTCGAACTTCTGCGACAACGGTTGCGCACCTGCCAGGGCCATCATCCCTGTCAAATAATACCATGCGGGACACATTCGTTTTTTCTTCGCGCGCGCACGCCGAAATCTCCAAAAACCATTGGGCTTCTTAAGAATTTTAGCACCGCGCATCATAAAATCACACGAATCGCACCGTAGGTCCTCGAAAAACACCTGCACGACTTTTCAAAATTTCTACCCGCGCGCGCTGTCCTAACAACTTCTGTGGGTGTGTACTCCACGCCAGTGTAGTAGCCACGGTCGTCCGCAGGCCACGAAGTGAAGTGTCCGAACGTCATAGGGCGGGAAGCTGGGTGTGGGTGGTGGCGAAGAGTCGTGTGGATATTTGGTAGAGCTTGCACTGCCCCCCCACAAAGTGGGGGTATTGGCTGGCGTCGCATGAAAACCCTGGCACTGGTGAGAACACTGAGCGTTCGGGTAAAGTGATTGTTGTTGTTGTTGTTGTTGTTGAACATTATTGCTTCTAAAGAATAATTATTGTTGGGGCCCCTGGTGCACGGCCCCCTCGCCGCGCCTAGGCCGCAGCCATGTTTTCATCATTTTCGTGAGGAAGTCTCGGCAAAACGGGTTGGTCCGGATCCGGTTGTTTTGTTTACGGGCGGTTTTCCCTTGCAAAAAAATAAGGCAAAGTGGACATTTCTTGTTCTAACATAACCAAACTTCAAGAATCCCTTGCAAAAAATAAGGTAAAGTGGACATTCGCGCGCGCAAGACGAAATCCTTCCAAAACCTTAGTGTTCGTAGCGATTTTAACATAAAAACATCAAAAAACCAATGGTTTTTCAAAAAAAATGTCAAAATTTCATCCCGCGCGCTCTTGCGGATTTGTAGGAAACCCAACACTTTTTAAACATTTCTGTCAAACGGGCTTTTGCGAGCAACTTTTTCACGTGCTTCGAACTTCTCCAACAACGGTTGCGCACCTGCCAGGGCCATCATCCCTGTCAAATAATACCATGCGGGACACATTCGTTTTTTCTTCGCGCGCGCACGCCGAAATCTTCAAAAACCATTGGGTTGCTTAGGAATTTTAGCACCGCGCAACATAAAATCATACGAATCGCACCGTAGGTCCTCGAAAAACATCTGTACGAATTTTCAAAATTTCTACCCGCGCGCGCTGTCCGAATCCTTAAAAAAACCAATGGTTTTTCAACATTTATGTTACATGAGCTCGCGCGAGCTACTTTCGCAAGCTCTTTCAACGGCGTTCGCGCGCCTGCCAGGGGCCACCCACGTGGTACCACTCAAAATAAGTGTCTTCGCTTGTGTGGTGCAGAAACGGAAAAACGTCGTATCAGACGCTAGCGCCTCACCAGCCAAAGCAGTCCATATCATTGTAGGACCTATAGACAGTACCGGCGTCGTACTGGTTTACCGTGGTTTCCTATTCTAGCGTCAGGAACACGTTACCACCAAAAACCAGTACAGGTGTCCAGTGTTGGAACAGGGGGAAAAGTCGTATACTAAGCTAGCGTCCAGAAAATGTTACCACAACAAGTCACTGTACCCATGCGCCAGTGTAGTAGCCACGGTCGTCCGCAGGCCACGAAGTGAAGTGTCCGAACGTCATAGGGCGGGAAGCTGGGTGTGGGTGGTGGCGAAGAGTCGTTTGGAAATTTGGTAGAGCTTGAACCGGCCCCCCCACAAAGTGGGGGTATTGGCGGCGTCGTATGAAAACCCTGGCACTGGTGAGAACGGAGTGTCCCCACGTGCTAGTAATTGTTGTTGTTGTTGTTGTTGTTGTTGTGTTGTTGTTGTTGTTGTTGTTGTTGTTGTTGTTGTGTTGTTGAATTTTCATTTCTGAAGAATAATTATTGTTGATCCCCCTTACCGGTGCAGATTGTTTTTTCTCAATCAAAGTGTGCCCCTCGACGCTCGCACCCTGGTTTTTGACAGGGGAAATCTTCCTGCTCAAACTGGCCCCCTGGCCTCCGGGTTACAACAACAACGGCTCCCGCCTGAAACTTCCTTACAATTTAGCCAGGACCCCCGCTCCCGCCCGAGACATCCTCGCATTTTATTGAGGCATCGCGCTCTCGCTGGGGACTTCCTTACAATTTATTTGGGAATCGCTCTCTGGGCGCTCTGGAGTCGCGCTCTCGCTGGAGACTTGCTTGCAACTTACTGAAAAATGGCCTTGCGTTGGAATTTCCTGCAATTTGCCCAAGCGCCGCGCTCCCGACACCCAGGCACCCAGGAGTCGCGCCCGTTGTGGCCCCGTGGCCCCATATGCATGCCCTTCGTGGCCCCGCTGTCGCCATTTGTGTCCTCCTCACTGTCCTATGTGGCCCAGTTGCTACCCTCACTGGCCCCATGGTTGCCTTCTGTGGCCCCGCATTATCTGCACTTCGTGGCCCCCGCTCGTTCGCGCTCTTCGTGGCCCCATACGCATTCCCTTCGTGTCCCCGCTGTCGCCCTTCGTGGCCTACTTCGTGTCCTTCGTGGCCCTGCTGTCGTTCTCTCTCGCTCTCGCTTTCGCTCGTCGTCGCCGTCGTCGCCGTCGCGACGTCGTCGTCGGGATCGTCGTCGTCGTCGTCGTCGTGGTCGGTCCCCTGTCCGTCCCTCTTGGGGTCGGGTCGACGGTCCGCGGCCGCCCCGCCGATCAGCGCTGCCGCTGGCCAGGCCGACGGTCCGCGGCCGCCCCGCCGCTTGCCGGGGCCCCGGCTTGCAGGGAAGAAAGGTATACCCCCCAAAAGGGGTTCGATCGAAGACGAAGAGGGCGGGTATCGAGGGTTTGGGAAATACCGTTATTGGACACTCGAGCATATAAGGGCGAACAGTCTTAAAATGATTGTTGTTGTTGTTGTTGTTGTTGTTGTTGTTGTTGTTGTTGTTGTTGTTGTTGTTGTTGTTGTTTGTTTGTTGTCGTTGTTGTGTTGTTTGAATATTATTACTTCTAAAGAATAATTATTGTTGGGCCCCCTGGTGCACGCCCCCCCGCCGCGCCTAGGCCGCAGCACGTTTTCATCATTTTCGTGAGGAAGCCTCAGGAAAAACGATGTGATCCAGATCCGGTTGTTTTGTTGATCCGTTTTCCCTTGCAAAAAATAAGCTAAAGTGGACATTTCTTGTTCTAACATAACCAAACTTCAAGAATCCCTTGCAAAAAATAAGGTAAAGTGGACATTCGCGCGCGCAAGACGAAATCCTTCCAAAACCTTAGTTTTCGTAGCGATTTTAACATAAAAACATCAAAAAACCAATGGTTTTTCAACAAAAAAAATGTCAAAATTTCATCCCGCGCGCTCTTGCGGATTCGTAGGAAACCCAACACTTTTTAAACATTTCTGTCAAACGGGCTTTTGCGAGCAACTTTTTCGAACTTCTGCGACAACGGTTGCGCACCTGCCAGGGCCATCATCCCTGTCAAATAATACCATGCGGGACACATTCGTTTTTTCTTCGCGCGCGCACGCCGTCGTCGTCGGCCGCGGGGCCCTGAATAGTAGCCACGGTCGTCCGCATGCCACGAAGTGAAGTGTCCGAACGTCATAGGGCGGGAAGCTGGGTGTGGGTGGTGGCGAAGAGTCGTTTGGAAATTTGGTAGAGCTTGAACCGGCCCCCCCACAAAGTGGGGGTATTGCCCGCCTCCTATGAAAACCCTGGCACTGGTGAGAACGGAGTGTCCCCACGTGCTAGTAATTGTTGTTGTTGTTGTTGTTGTTGTTGTTGTTGTTGTTGTTGTTGTTGTTTGTTTTATGTGGTTGTTTATGCGGCTCTCGTTGTTGTTGTGGTCAATTGTGTTGTTGTGGTTGTGGTTGTGGTTGTGGTTGTTGTTGTGTTTCTTATGTGTTATGTTGTTGTTGCTGCTGTTGTTGTTGTTGTTGTTCATGTTGCTGTTGGCATCTCGTTACTGAAGAATCATTATTGTTGATCCCCTCCTTCAGGTGACCATTGTATTTCTTTCCATTGAAATGCTTCCCCCGGGCTCGCACCCTGTTTTTTTATCAGGGAAAATCACGGGACTTGGCGGGATTTCCTCACACTTTGTATACGAATCGCGCTCTCGCGTGGGATTTCTTCGCAGTTTATTGAAACGATGCGCCCTCGGCGCTCAGGAATCACGCTCTTGCTTTGGCTGTTCTCGCGATTTACTGGGTAATCGCGCTATCGCTCGAGACTTCCTCGCGATTCAGGCAGGACCCACGCTACAGCAACCCGCCTGCTCAACCTGGTCGCCTGGGCCCGCATTCCCCACCTGCCCGCTGTGGGTCTGCCCACCCGATCTGCCCATCTGGTTCTACCACTCGTTTTTCTGCTCCTTGACCCCGTCCTGATACTTTCTCTTGTGCTTCATTATTCTCCCTCCCCCTTCCACCCGTCCTTTCTCCCCTTCGTCGTCGTTGCGATCGCCTTTCTACCTTGTTCCGATGTTGCTTGATCGCCTCGCCTCGCCTCATCCTGACATCTCTGTAATGATTCGTCCCGCCTCGTCACATCTCATCTCGGCCTCAGTGCTAAGAGTCCAGTATCTTTCTCTCTCTCTCTCTCTCTCGCTCTCTGGTTTTCTTGTGAATCGAATTCGGTAGTCATGCGCTCAGGCTAAGATGGTCAGCTACTTGAATACGCAGTTCTGGCAGGCATTCCATTCAAACTTGGTCCGTCTTCATTGGGATTAGAAGGTACTTCGGTGCGCGTAGATGATTCAACCTCTCCCAAATGCGGCCTTGCGCCATGTAGTCAACACTGATTGGAAACGCCTACGGCGAATCACCGCCGCCATGCCTTTTGGAACCGCCCATGTGGCCGAACGTTGTGGCCAGAGCTCTGCCAAGCTATCCGACCATGTGTTCACCAAGCCGTTGTGGAAACCTTTTTGGAGAACACTCGGGGGAGAAAGAAGAAGAGACGGAACGGGAAGACACATTGAGATGATGATGCTGCTGCTGCTGCTGATGATGATGATGAGGAGGAGGAGGAGGAGGAGGAGGAGGAGGAGGAGGAAGACGAGGCGGAGGAGGCTGAGGAAGAGGAGGAGGCGGAGGACTTTTGGGGCCTTCTGAGGGCTCCTTGTGGGCCTCTAGGAGGTCTCTTGGTAGCCTCTTGGAAGCCTCCTTGGGCCTCTTGGAGGCCTTCCGGGGCTTCTCGGGGGCCTCTTTGGTCGTCTTAATGAGTTCCTGGCCCGCCTGATGCCGTAGAACGCGGTCTTGGGGCCTCTATGGACCGACTTGGGGCTGGGGCGCTTCAGGGCCGTCTTGGAGACCACCATGGGCGTCTTGGAGGCCTCTCGGGCCGTCTTGGGGCCCTCTTGGGGCCGTTTTGGAGGCTTCTTGGGCCGTCATGGGGTCATTTTGGAGGCCTTTGGGGCCATCTTGGGGCGATTTGGGCCGTCGGAAGGCCGAACATAAGCAAATGGCAACATGTTCCAAACACCTAACATCGCTTTTGGCCTCTTCGGGTGCCCTCCTGGAGGACCTCTTGGAGGCCTCGTGAGCCGTCTTGAGGCCATCTTGGGCCGTCTTGAGCGCATCTTGGGGCCATGTTGGGGTCTCTTGGGGTCATCTTGGCTGTCTTGGAGGCATCTTGGAGGCTATCATGAGACATCTTGGCCGTCGGAGAGGCCATCTTGAGCTGTCTTGGTAGACTTTTTCTGGACTTTGAGGTTTCGGTCCCCTCCGGGTGGCCAGCGGCATGGGCCGAAGCCCCAGGGGGAGTTCTTTGGGAAAAGAACCAACACCAAGCCGTAAGAAGTTTAGCGCGCCAGGCACCCTTGTGGCACGCCAGCAGTGGGCGGCGGATCGAAGACGCCTGCGGCGAATCACCGCCGCCCCTGCCTTTGTGGAAGCGCCTGTGTGTCCAAGAGCTTGGCCAGGCTATCGGACCATGTGTTCCCCGAGTCGGTTTGGAGAGGTTTCGGGGAACGCGGGGGGGAGGAAGAGGAAGAGGAGGAGAAGAAGGAAAAGGGAGAAGGGGAAGGCTGCCTCCTCGGAGCCTCTTGAGGCACTCTTGGGGCTCGATTGGGCCATCTTGGGACCGTCTTGGAGGCCACGTTGGGGCCATCTTGGGCTCTCTTGGGGCCTGCTGAGGGCCTCTGGGGGCCCTTCTGGGGCTCCTCGGGGGCTTCTTTGGCAGTGCTATGGCGTTCCTGGCCAGTTTGACGCCGTCGGGAGCCGTCTTGGGGGCCTCTCTGAACCGACTGGGGGCCCTCTTGCAGCGCTTCGGGTCCGGCTTGGAGGCCATCTTGGGCGTCTTGGAGGCTTCTCGGACCGTCTTGGGGCCCTCTTGGGCCTTCTTGGGGGCTTCCTGGGCCGTCATGGGGCCATCTTGGATGCATCGTGCGCGATTTTGGGGCGATCTTGGGGGCCTCTTGGGTCGTCTCGAGTCTTCGGAAGGCCGAAATGAAGCAAATGCCGACATCCTTCAACAACCTAAGGAACACACATGATTTTGGCCTGATCGGGCCCTCCTTGAGGACCTCTTGGAGGCGTCTTGGGGGGCTCTTGGGGGCCTCTTGGGCCGTCTTGAACCATCTTGAGGCTATCTGAGGCCGTCTTGGAGGCATCTTGGGCCATCTTGGAGGCATGGATGCATCTTGGGACCACCTGAGCCGTCTTGGAGGCCATGTTGGCCGTCTTGGAGGCGTGTTGGAGGCCATCTTGGGCCGTCTTGGAGCCGTCTGAAGCAGGACAAATCCTTTGCAACCACCTCTGGGCAATCTTTCCGGGTGGCCGGCGGGACGGGCCGAAGCCCCTGGGGGAGTTCTTTTGGGAAAAGAACCAAAACCAATACCGAAAGGGTCTAGCACGCCAGGCACCCCTGCGATGAATCGACAGGGGGCGGCGGATCGAAGACGCCTACGGCGAATCACCGCCGCCCCCTGCCTTTGTGGAAGCGCCTATGTGGCCGAACGTTGAGGCCGGACCTGCCAAGCTATCGGACCATGTGTTCCCCGAATCGGTTTGGAAAGCCTTGGGGACACGTGGGCATCGTGAAGGTCATCTTGGTCGCCTGGAGGCCATTTTGACCCTTTCGGGCCTTCTTGGAGGACTTCTTGGAGGGCTCTTGGGCCGTCTTGGAGGCCATCTTGAGCGTCTTGGAGACCTCTTGGGCCGTCTTGGGTGCCTCTTGGGGCCGTGTCTTGGGCCTCTTGGGCGATCTTGGGGGCCTCTTGGGCCGTCTCGGGCCGTCGGAAGGCAGAAAAAATGCAAATGCATAATCCCTCAAAAACCCGAATCGGACCATGTGTTCCCCGAATCGGTTTGGAGAGCCTTCGGGGAACACTGTCGCTGTCACTGTCGCTGTGGGAGGGGTGTGGGCCTCGTCGGCCGCCCCCCGTCTCCCCCGCGAAAAACCAGGGGCCCCGGCCCCCGACCCCCCGATGGGGTGAATAGCACGCCGCGAGAAAAGGCAGGGGCGGGGACCCCCCGCACCGGGAGGGGTGCGGAGGGGGAGCCCGACCCCCTGCCCCTCCCCTTCCTCCTCCTCCTCCTCCTCCTCCTCCTCGTCCTCCTCCTCCTCCTCCTCCTCCTCCTCCTCCTCGTCCTCCTCCTCGTCCTCCTCTTCCTCCTCCTCCTCCTCCTCCTCCTCATCTTCCTCCTCCTCCTCCTCGTCCTCCGCGGCGGACCCCCCCCCCCAAGAGCCCCATAGCAGGAGAGGTGAGAGGGGGAGAGAGGGCGACGAGGAGGATGGGGTGCAGATGGCCCCCTTCATGACCAGAAGCCCATACTGGGAATGATGGCTCATCATCGGGAACTCCGACCTTGTGGCACCCGTCCTGGAAGAACATGCCGATGATAGAAACACGCCCGGGAATTCGAATATTGGCGCTCTAAGGGCATAAAAGCATATGTGTCCATACACACGCACTCGTACGACATACGCGCAAGACGCAGACTTGGATACCTAATGTGTAGTGGACTCTCTGATACACGTGATTCGAATATGCACATATACATACCAACTGTGTAATGAACTCTCTGGTACACGTGCGCACGCAGACTCAAAGACCAGAAACCCGTACGAGACACGCGCAAAAGCCCGAGGCCCCCATCCTGCCAGACACCATCGACAACCCTGTGCCGCCCTTGCGTTAAACCCTACACCCCTCGTGGCTCTTCCCGCAGCAGCACGGCAGGCGCACCCGTCGGCCAGGAAAGGGGTGCAAGTCCCTTCGTCGTCAGGGGTACAAGTCCCCCCACCCTAAGGAGGCAGTTCAAGGCCACCTCCCAGCGCAAAAGGGTGACCCGAAGGGCGACGACGACCCGGCTGACAAGTGGCCCCCGCGCCGCTTGACCTTGGATCTTCCCCTCCCGCCCCCATGCCCCCACCTCCCTCCCCAACCAACCCGCCCGATACACGAAAAGGTCAGGAGACCCCAACTTGGTGATGTGCACCGTCGCAACAACAGCAGGAGACTCCGTAGGATCAACGACAAGCCCGGACCAAAACGCGCACCCCAAGCCACCCGACCTCCGGTGATCAGGCGGAAGCCGGTCTCACGATGCCCGACGTGAAGGGTGGACTCCAGGAGTCCGAACCGCCCCTGCACGTGCATGGCAGCGAGCCGTGCCCGTCCGCCCCGCGCGAGAGGGCGCCTACATGTTGTGGTGTGGGAGACCCGAAAGATCGAAACCGAGCCCACGAGCAGGGGGGTGCAGCTCCACGCCACCCTGGAACGCAGGTAAACGTGGGGCGACGTGAAAAGGCAATCAGGCCGAGGGGAACCCGATTGCTTCCCGCCGTGGGGTTGGCCGCCCCGGAGCGCCAGCCCATTGCCGTGACACGCTGTACACCAAGCACCCTCGGGCGCTCACGGAACGTTGCCCCCGGCCCAACCGGGAGGTTTGGGCACTCACGGGCCGTACAGAACAACGCTCGCACCGAAGGCGCGAGATGCTCCCGTCCGACTCGGCGGTCTATGGACGCGCCGGTGTGGTTGGCGGCCACACCCGGCACCCCGGCCCCGGGAGCGGGGCGTAGGCCGGTAAGGACTACGGGCGCGCCCCTCGACACCAGAGACACCTCATGTTCATACAGGGGAATCACAGCACCGCACAGCACCACACCGCAGACGTGACTGGATACCAAGACCCCTAGCCCAAGCACGGTACACTGTTCGCACTGTCTCTGGTAAGCGCGATACACTGTGTACTGGACTTTCTGACACCTCATAAAACGCACGCACGCGCAAAACAACGCCCGCGCAAATACGCACGCGCAAGATGTACATATACAAACACACGTCCAATGCTCGTAGTCCCGCCGTGCCGCCTTCGGGGAACACGTGGGCATCTTGAAGGTCATCTTGGCCGTCTGGAGGCCATTTTGACCCTTTCGGGCCTTCTTGGAGGACGTCTTGGAGGTCTCTTGGGCCGCCTTGGAGGCCATCTTGAGCGTCTTGGAGACCTCTTGGGCCGTCTTGGGTGCCTCTTGGGGCCGTGTCTTGGGCCTCTTGGGCGATCTTTGGGGGCACTTGGACCGTCTCGTGCCGTTGGAAGGCAGAAGAAAAGCAAATGCATAATCCCTCAAAAACCAATGGGAAATCAATGATTTGGTCTTTTCGGGCCTTCCTGGCGGCCCTCGTGGAGGCCTCTTGGGCCGTCTTGGGCCATCTTAGGGCCATGTTCGGCCGTCTTGGTGG